TTTTTTTCTTTTCTCTCTCCCCCTCTCCCCATGGTGATTGATGTCTGTTATTGTTACGCTGTTGTTTTTGTACCCCCCCTGTTTTTCTCCTTTTCCACGGTACTGGTGAGCTCGGAGCGGCCACAATCTTTACTCTTGAATGTAATGTAAAATAAAGTTGTCCTCCGAAGAGGGGGGGTGGTGGTGGGCAATAAAAAAAAAAAAAAAAAAAAAAAAAAAAATTCATCCCAAAGGTGTTCTATCCGGTTGAGGTCAGGGTTCTGTGCAGGTCTGTCAAGTTCCTCCACACCAGACTCGCTCATCCATGTCCTCATGGACCTTGCTTTGTGCACTGGTGCGGAGTCATGTTGGAACAGGGAGGGGCCATCCCCAAACTGTTCCCACAAAGTTGGGAGCATGAAATTGTCTAAAATGGCTTTGAATGCTGCAGCATTAAGAGTTTTTTTCACTGGAACTAACAGGCCAAACCCAACCCCTGTTAAACGACCCCACACCATAATCCCCCCTCCACCAAACATGTGGCACAATGCAGTCAGGCAAGTACCATTCTCCTGGCACCCGCCAAACCCAGACTCATCCATCGGATTGCCAGACAGAGAAGCGTGATTCGTCACTCCAGAGAACACGTCTCCATTACTCTCGAGTCCAGTGGCGGGTTGCTTTACACCACTGCGTCCGACGCTTTGAATCGCACTTGGTGATATAAGGCTTGGATGCAGCTGCTCGGCCATGGAAACCCATTCCATGAAGTTCTCTACGCACTTTTCTTGAGCTAATCTGAAGGCCACATGAAGTTTGGAGGTCTGTAGCTATTGACTCTGCAGACAGTTGGTGACTTCTGCACACTGTGCGCCTCAGCATGCGCTGTCCCCGCTCTGTGATTACTGCACACCTGTGAGTGCCAGCCCGCTTCCTGCACTGCCCACCATCACTTGATTTGTATGTATCATATAGAATGGCATAGATTGTCTGGTATTGGGGAACACAACTTAATAAATTAAAAGGAAAGTTTTTTTTTTCTTTTGAGGGATGAATGAAGCCAAATTAAATATTGGACTAACACATGCCTCCTACACCCCTGATCATACACCATATGGATAAAAGCATTGGCACACACCTCTTAATGACTGAATTCAGGTATTTCATTCAGACCCATAGCCACAGGCGTATAAAATCAAGCACCCAGCCATGCAGTCAGATTTACAAACATTTGTGAAAGAATGGGTCGTTCTGAAGAGCTTAGTGAATTCGTAGGATGCCGTCTTTACGATGCCAAGCATCGGATTAAGTGGTGTAAAACACACTGTCACTGGACTCTGGAAATGTATTCAGTGGAGTGACAAATCACACTTCTCTGTCTGCCAGACTGATGAACAAGTCTGGGTTAGGCAGAGGCCAGCCTCAAACCCATGACCAGCAGGTACTCTTCTTAAGCCGCACACTCAGCTCACTGAGCTATGCAGCAGTCCGGGGGCAAGGGAAACACACTAGGGGCTTAAGGGGCAAGCAACAGGGAGGAGAACAGGAAGTCCAGCACCACCTGCTGGCCAAACGGGGAGGAGACAAGAAGGACAGGGACTGACTGTACAGACCCTGACACATAATACTCATCATAATAGCCTCTGGGTATCAGTAGCTGCACACCTTCTGGCCTGAGAGCCCGAATCTCCTTCCTTCTATAGGTGGTGTTTGTCTGTTCTCCCCAAGTCTATGGGATTCCTCCTGCGTTTGCTTGCGCGAAAGGGACAGCCCATCTTTAAAACTTTTTTGGATGAGGACATTTTATTAATTGGGGAACGGGACAAGGAAATTGTGGCGGAATCGCACTTTTAAATCATAAAGGGGCCTGCCTAGCGATGCCATGAAGACGACTCTCTCACCATAAATATAAACCGATTATAATCCGCGGTTAGAATGGCAATGACGTGCAAAGTGCGATCAGAGGACCATCAAACGTCCGTCTTTTTCATGCCGGATCGATAATTTAACACTAAGTACCGCTTTTGAGCATGGTACACAAGACGAAATAACGATTACTGAACGATCTGTTACATTTTAAATACAGGGAGCGAGAGCGTCTCTTCTGGTAAATGCCTAGGTCTTTTAATGATTTTAAAAAACGAAAGAACTTGTAGCTTAAGTAATTTGCGCTCATTTTTCACCAAGATACTGATTTTAGTGTAATTTCGGAAACATGAATGCAATATTTTCATCCAGTCAGAAGACTTTTGTTAAATAGCCACCCCGCTGCTGAAGGAATTAAATGGTTGTCATAACAACCACCTGCGTGCAGAGGAGCTACATGCAGTGAGTATGTCACATACAAGCAAAATGGCAGAATACACAAAGTAAGGTGTGTATATCCGACACGAGCACGAAGGGTGGGTAAAATACTAAGTGGAAAGATATGCTTCAATTGCGCTGTCTGTCTCTCCCTCTCTCTAAGCGTTTTCATGTGACTATCCAATCCAGAGCGTTTTATGACGTGTGTGCTTCATAAAATGCATTTGGGATGTCTATTTCATAACAATGTAAAGATAATCAGGTGAAAATATTGAAAATGTGAATTTTAAAAGTTGAATGACTGCATGCCATCCGCTTTACCTCCTTTTTTGTTGAAGAAACCGGTCGTCACGCCTTTTGGGGGAAACGTGAACATCGTGCGTTTATGGTTTAAAAACCAAATGAGCTTAAATGTACCGCTCTTAGTGCATTTCAAATCCCCAAGCTTTTTTTACTGAGAGTTCTGAATAATACTGAGCATGCTAAGTATGTACTGCGTTTTTAAGACAGTAAGACTGAAGCTTTGTGTAGCCTCGCAGGTGTGAAAACTGGATATTTATGCATGCTTCAGCAGTGAGTTACATTCTCGGTGAAAAACGCTACTGCTGAATAGAGCAGCGGCCGCCAGTCTGTTTGTCACAAATTGTGACATTGGCTGAGACCCCCCCTCTAGACTTTAAAGTTGCTCACAGCGATGTCGCTTTCCGATGTGGAGAAGCAAACTGCGAAAGTGCTTAGTGCTAATCACCTTAATTAAACTAATCTGAGTAATGTCTGCCTTGTGATTATGTGGAAGGAACTTGGCCATATCAAACAGAACCCAAGAGTTCAGTGGTCATAGACATCTGGCCTTTTGGCATGTACCCAGTTTCTTCCAACGATGCACAGTACCACTTGATTTGACCAATTACTTAGTGGCCCTGATTCATGACATGGTAAATTAGCTATAACAAATAGCATGCTTTGCAATCCATTAGGCCTATCTAGAGCATCCGTAACTAGCCAAGTGTTATGCATGCAGGTGTCACCTCCTGCCTGCCAAGTCCACCTGACCCCCTGTCTCCTGCTTAGCGTGACCCTAACAAGCCACACCTGTTACTCGCTTGTCTTACCTCTTGTTCCTAACCTTCATGTTAATCACTGCCAGCTGCCTCTTGTTAGCTCCCTCGTTAGTCTAGTATATATGTGCTTCCCAGTCCTGTGTTCTCCAGTCCAGACATTCGTGTTGCTCCCCCTGTCTGCCTGTGGCTGTCCCTAGTCTAAGCATCTTATTTTGATCCCTTGTGATCTTGTTAATTTCCAGTCCCCGTTTGTTCAAGTTCAATAAAACCTCTTTTGTTTTGCCAAACGCTTGCCCTCAAGTCATTTGCCCTGCATGTCATGACAGTCAGTGGAAGAACATTAACTTTAAGAACATTAATCAGACATCGGTAATAGAAAATTCATCACTGAAAATTTATGACTTCATGAAAAAGTAGAAAGTCTCTTTGTTATGGCTGGAATTGGTTATTTCCATACAAACCATCCATGAGTTTCATTATGGTAAAGTACATTTGCATGTACACAGAGTTTGGCATGGTATATAAGTGCTGTTGCAATAGTACAAAAAAGTATAGGATAATGACAGGATACAATAGACAATGTTATCATTCAGAAAATTGAGTGAGAAGCTGGAGTTGCACAGAAGAGTATAAATAAATAAAAACTTAGTCACCCAGAATTGATAAATTAGACTCCGAGTGAGTGTGCATGTCCCATGGAGGTCAGAACCTTGTTTGTCAGTTAGATTACTACAAGGAAGCAACCTTTCTGGTGATTCGAGGAACTGGTTCTGATGGACCACAGTCTTTTGTATGAGGGGAGTCTTTGGAATAGAGTGGCTGGGGTGGAAGGAATTATCCACGATCTTTAGGGCTCTTCTTATGGCCTGAGACTCAGACAGCATCTGCAGGGGGGTCAGCTCCAGCCGGCGGTCTTTTCAGCAGACTGGACAACTCTTTGCAGTCTGTGTTTGTCTGTGGCAGCAGTGGCAATATAGAGGGGTGCCGTAAAAGGGGGGGGGGGTTAGAATTATTCAAAGGGCCTCTTAGTGATGGGGCCCAAAATATTTGGATTGATGTGGGTAGGGGGCCCAGTAAGATATGCTTTCATGGGGCCCAAGATCTCTAGCGGGCCTCTTTACAGTATAACAGACTGATGGGAGGTGCGGGTGTGTACTGGATAGCAGCTGCATGGATCCGCACTGTACGTTTTGGGGCAGGTTGAGTAGTCAAGCTGTCTTAGCATAACAAAGAAAGCAGTTTCTGTCTTGATTATGGGGTTGATGTTTTTCTCCCATTTCAGGTGCTTGGAAATGACTTTACCAAGGAACCTGACTGAGTCCACTGCGCTGACGGAGGAGCGACACTGCATGAGGGGGGTGGAGCACCGTGCTATCAACTTGTCAATTTCCTGTCTGTACGCTGACTCATCCCCAAAGTTGTCATCAGCAAATTTCAATCGTGCTTTTTGGTGCAGCAAAGAGAGGGAAGTGAGGGTAAGGACCCACAGTCATATGCTGTGATGTGACTGCAGTGCTCGTGGCCTGAGAGCCTGAGGTCTGGCTGCTTCCTGTGTGTGAGAGAATCAGTGATCAACTACAGATATTGATGGGCAGTTTGAGCTGGGAAAGTCTGTCCTGTGGTATTAAGGATTAAAGTCTATGAACAGGATTCTCGTGCAGGTTCTGGGGTAGTCTGAATGTTCCAGAATGAAGTGCAGAGTCTTGTTTACAGGATCATCTGCAGTCATACTGGCTTTGTAAGAAAACGGTAGTAGGTCTAGAGCAGGGTCTGTGACTGGCTTGAGGTAAAGCCAGGGCAAGATATTCAAAGGGCTTCATGAAGGTAAGGGAATGAGTCACTGGAATTTGTGATTTTCAGCTTCTTGAACCAGGTATTATGGTGGATACTTTGAAGCATGCAGGAACTTTGCATTCTTGTGGTGACGTCAAATATTTTTGTGAATACGGAAGAGAGCTGGTCTGCACAGTATTTTAGTGAGAAGAGAGTGACTGAATCAGGTTTTGTGTGGGTTCAGAATTTTGAATAGTTGTCTCTCTTGCTTATAGTGGGAACATTGCAGGATGGACACTGTGAGTCTCAGAAGCGTGACAGGTGGCTGGGGAAGATGGATTCTGGGCTGCAGACTTTGGTGTCGATTCTACAGTGGAACTTGTTAAGTTCACAAATCAGCTGTTGTTCAAAAATAGGGGGGATTTGGGTTTATAGCTGTTCACCTTTTGCTATGTAAGTCATGGTTCATCATTATTTTAGCGTACCCAGCAATAGGTAAACAGCTGTATTCAGCAAGTATAGATGAAGTACTCTGCTTGGGTTGCCTTCAGTTTTTAAATTGACCAGTTCAAACACTGGTTGCCTTTGTGTAGTCTGGACACTGGTCCATCTAGTCATCTCTATTAGCCCTTAATGCAGTGACCTTTGTATCACCATTGGAGATTGGCTAAACATCTGAGGGGGTGTGGCCTTAGGAGGTCATCAGGGGTCACCAGAGAGGAGCTGATAATGGAACAGTATAGGTCCGCTTCCCATTTTGGTGGTAATAATGGTGGTAATAACGGAGTTTTATGACCTTAAATTAGCTGTAAACGGTCCTCTTTCCCATCATCTGAGCAGGCTTCCTGAAAAGTATCCTTACCAATAGTGGAGGCTTTATGCCAGCCTATTTCTGTAACCATCGATAAAAGATGAAAAATCCATTAAAAGATTTACACATTAACGTGATTAAACATCATCGGAGGTCTCAAACGTGAGAGTGATCAATGTCATACAGTTTGACATACGGGTGTAAGAGTAAGTGAGTCAGATCGTTAAGCCAATGTGGACGTCGATGTCTTAGGTGTGTCCCCCCCCCCCACCATGTTCCCCTGCTGCTGTTGTTCCTGATACCTGGTCAGCTTCACGGAGGCTGGAGTGCAGCTGTGTTCAGGTGGAGACCTGAGAGCAGAAGTGAGGAGCCCCATGACTTTTGGCTGATCTATCATCTCTCTACTGCTCAGACAGAACTTTCTGAGGCTGTCTCTTTTTGAATTCGATTTATCACCTAGTAAAGCTACATTTTCCATTTATGTTCTTAAGACGTAGCTCTCCTATACAGGCAGTCTCCAGGATACAAACAAGGTCCATTCCCTAAGTCTGTCTTTAAGTCGAATTTGTGAGTCAGAGGAATAATACAGGGCATAATAATAGTAATACAGTGATAATAAAAGTAATTCCATGTGGGGTACTGTGCTCTACTTCAAGCCAGCGAAATGCTAAAGCCGCGCAATGTTTTCACGAGCATCACAAAGTGTGAAGGTTCGTTATTATGAATCATTGTATTTCATCTGAATTTTTAATATAATAGACTTTATTGTTTCTTAAGCATGAGTTGTCTATAAGTCTGACATTCTTAACCCGAGGACTGTCTGTACGGTTCAATGAGCTGTTATGTAACGTATACACACAAATAAGTAGCTTAAATTGTCATTTTTATATAATGACTTTTATCAAGGTTATATAAACCTTATGGAGGGAAGGTTTAGCTTATCAAGTTTTTTTGGGGGGGTCTTGAAATTGAGAAATAAAGAATTCTTAACACGAAAATGGACTGAACCAAAGTGTGTTTGAATCAGACATCTGTAGAGATGAAAAAGCTAAACTGCACTAATGAATACTAATGAGACAAAGGGGGGAAAGAGGTTCTTAATGTTCAACTGATTAAGAATTGGAGGTCTGTGAGCAGACAACAGGCCACCCAGGAACACAATGTAACTCTCACTGGGTGATCGCTCACTGGGAAGGGGTCTCTCATTGGGTGATTGCTCACTGGGAAGGGGTGTCTCACTGGGTGATCGCTCACTGGGAAGGGGTCTCTAACTGGGTGATCGCTCACTGGGATGGGGTCTCTCACTGGGTGATCGCTCACTGGGAAGGGGTGTCTCACTGGGTGATCGCTCACTGGGAAGGGGTGTCTCACTGGGTGATCGCTCACTGGGAAGTGGTGTCTCACTGGGTGATCGCTCACTCATTTACAGCTTGGCTCCAAATACCCTCAAAAGCAACCAGTAGTGTCCGAGTCACAACACAAGGCATCCGGTAAGTATGATGGTTTTTATTCGAGCATCATGGACATGTGAAGTCAAGCTGTACATGTCAACCTCAGGTATGATTCACAACCACAGTACCGTAAATCATTAATGCCTGAAATCACAGAGCTAAAAAATATATGAAATCAAAAGTTAGGGGTCAGTGATCACAACAAGGCTGGATATCTTCTGCTATTTTAGAGCAAATTTCTAAGATTTAAAGATATGTACACTGTTGTTTTATTTATAATACTTTAATGGTATTTACAGGATGGACTTAACACAAGTCAACCAATTAGGCACCTAGGGCTCCATCACTAACTTAGCAAGCCAATTTCAGATGCTCCTCATGCTCCTACAAGCACTTGTACCCTCTGCTGTGCTAACATAGAGCAGTAATGTGATGGCAGTACTAGAGAGGTGCTGGTGTTTGCTTAGGGCTCCACATGGGCTTCAACCACTGATCATGAGTGTCTGCGATGGAGGCGGGGCCTAACCGCTAGCTCACCGCTACGATTGGCTCCACAGAAAAAATATCTGTGATGGAGGCGGAGCCTAACCATTAGCTCGCTGCTACGATAGGTTCCACAAAGGGAGTATTTGTGATGGAGGTGGGGCCTAACCATTAGCTCACTGCTACGATTGGCTCCACAGAGAGAATATCTGTTTTGCCAGAGTGATTGTGGGAGGTGAACCTGAACGCATGGGTGTCCTTGGGCCGGGAGTGGGAGGAGCCTCGGCTCTCGGGCCAGGCAGTGCGGTGGCAGTGAGTCCCAGACGGGGGCTGGTTCTCAGGGGCTGGCCCAGGCCGCTTCCCGCACATGCTCAGAAGGTACTTCAGCTCGGCACGGAAGTTCTCATTGAGCCAGCAGTAGATGAAAGGGTTGTAGCACGTGCTGCTCATGGCCAGCCAGTGGAAGGAGAAGTAAATGGCATTGCTGCTGCGGATAACCTGGCTGGACAGCAGCACCACGTAGCAGTTGAGCGGGAACCAGCAGACAGCGAAGACCACGACCACCACAGTCAGCATCTTGATGGTCTTCTTCTTCTTCTTGCGGTGGGCGAAGTACTGCTGGGTGGTGACATCGCCGATGGCATTGCGCCGCCACAGCCGGCGGGCAACTGTGGTGTAGGCTGCCGTGATGATGAGGAGCGGAAGCACGTAGAGTAGGATGAAGGTCGCCAGGTCGATGTACTTCCAATAAAGGTGGGAAGGCTCCGGGAAATTTGGGACACACAGACTTCTCAGGATGTTCTTACTGGCAGAGAGGGAAACACACCAGTGTCACTCCACGTCCTGATTGGCCATCTTGTAGCCAATCACAGCAGATGCCCACAGCCCCAAATGGAGCTCACAAGAGTCAGTGCATTTGGCCAGATGCCAATGGGACTGCAGGTGTATCTGGTTAAATGGTGCCCCCCCCAAACACATTACATCACTCAGTGAGTCAGCTGCCAGGCCCCACTCATGCTGGATGAGGACCTCAGCTGTGTGGAGCTGCTATTTTGGGCTGGCAGGGGTGTGTGTGTGTGTGTGTGGGGGGGGGGGTACTTAGGTAACTGGCCGGTTCAAATCGAAGGAACACTTCAGTACAATTAAGAGGAGTTTTCTGCATTACCTCTGACGATGAAATTGCTGAGACCCGCACACTCAGATTAGAGTCTAATCTACACACTCCGCCTGAAAATGCCGCTGACAGAGAACAGCTTTCTCCCGTTGTTTCATCTATCCAATAAAAAAAGCCAGACCAGGCGACAATTAAGACGATTCGGTGTTGATAGCATCCTGAGGGAGGCGCACATGAGCCGCATGCCGCTCCGACGGTCACTCACTCGCGGCTCTTACTGCCGCAGCCACACAAAGCTAGCTGGTGTGTATTCACACTTCATTCTATTGAATTACTTGTTTTCTCTTAGAAAAGCCATTATGTCAGAAACTATTGCCTCTGCCAGAATTAGATTAATGCATTGGCTGGTTTCCCTTCTTTTTTTTTTTTTTTTTTTTTAACAATTTATGCCATCTGTTTTCCATACCCATCTGATGGGTCACAGAGGCCAGAAGCAAGGGAAGGAATAACCCAGGGCGGGGCAACAACTGGGGGGCAGGCATACATGCATGTGCAAAAACACACACACACACACACACACGCGCGCGCGCGCATAATTTGACAATTCCAATCCACCTTAGCAAGTTTTTGGACTGTGGGGGAAAAATAGTGCCTGGAGAAAACCCCACAACAACACGGAGAAAACATGCAAAATCGACACACGTAGAGCTGGGGCGGAGAGACCTGAACCCTGGTCCCAGAGATGTGGGGTGACTGTGCTGACTAATACACTGCTGGGCTGCCTCATTAATAGAACTTATATAGAAATTACAGCAGATCAAAAATGGGATTTTTATTATTATTATTATTATTATTGAACTGGTCTGTATTCATGACTGGAAAATCTGTTGGTGCCTGTGCTGAATCCGTGGGTCTCCTTTTAGATTTACTGGCGGGAAACTCTGCCCAGATGAGCCCACCGAACTCCCTGACTGAAGCTGGTATGGTCAGTAGCTCCACCGTTCAAAGCATCGGCGGCTGGCGCTTACATACGCACCTGTATACGAAAGTAAAAAGCTTCTGGTAGATGGCGTGAGGGAGCGAGAAGCAGCTGGCCATCAGCCAAATGACGGCGATCCAGATCACACCCCGAGCAGGAGACATCCGAGGCTTTAAAGGGTGCAGAATAATCTAGAGCGGAAAACAAAATTTACTTCACTATGCATTATGCTTCACTAGGCCCTCCTCGTCAGCCTATCGCGCTGATTTGTAGTTAGTCTCCCGATTCGCGTTTTTGAGTTAATAGTGTAGCCTGAAGTTAACGCCGTGAACTTTCTGCACAAAAGCCAGGTGAAAGCAGAAAGTCCGCGGCACGGAAATTTGAGTGTTACCCAAGATATCCGCAGTGCCATGATGTTCCCAGATGGGATTTTTGGTATCAGAGGAGCGGCAATATAACGAGTGGTCCACTAGGGAATGAGGAGATAAGCGGACAGGTTTGTGTGGGTCACAACTAGAAAAAAGAAAAATAAAGACAACCTAAAATCATTAGTTTATCTCGTGTGAATGCCCTCACAGAACTCCAATTCATTGCAGTAACCTATATTTAATACAAGAAGATGAATACTGTGCAAATACTATTCAAATAAACTCGGTGTCAGCATTGCGCACGAACGCTCCTGATGAAAGCGCCTTACCTGCCGCCTGTCCAACGCTATGGCCGTAAGGGTTAGGGTGGAGACGTGCAGGGAGCAGTACTGCACGAATCTACTGATGTGACACATGTCCTTCCCGAAGACCCACGTGCTGTTAACAAAACGGACCTGCAAAGCCGAAGCGTCAGTGCGCATACAGTCAGCAAACAGCGCCCGCAATGTGGCGGTGCGTAAAGGCATAAAAATGAGCCCTAAAATAAAGATGCATCATCACCGTACAATCGACCACATACTGTTGATATTGAACTTGCATATGGAAAAGTTCATGCATATTAACGGGACACACCTGTCCTGTAACAACAGCAATAGGCTACTTACGAGAGTGAACGGGGTGTTGAGCAAGGTGATGAGGATGTCAGCTATAGCCAGGTTAACGATGAACAAACTAGTGGCGGAGTGCATCCTTTTGTTTTTTATCACGACATGGCAAACGAGGATATTTCCGAAGAGGGAGATTACGATTATGAAAGAATACGCGATGATTAGAAGAGCTTTCACAGTGGGATCCTGAGACTCTGCGCCGTATTTCTTTTTGCCTATAAGAAACTGCCAGTCAGCCAAAGTACTCTCATCCACCGTAAGCAAACCGGAGCGGTTCGCGGGCGCCTCGAAGATCCCCCCCAAAAAAGAGGCGTTGTACATTCGGGCTTTGGATGTGTGAACGCTAGTCGCCATGCACGTAAAAGACAACCACATACATGTGCTCCTCATGTCTGCGATTGGCAAAAAATTCCCTCCTCGATTCGCATTAAAGTCGGGTGTCTGTCCATGGGAGCGGGGCAGGTGCAGATCGGTGCGGCGTCGCGGCGGCGGACTGGCTGCCCACAGCATCGCTCAGCTTTTAGTTCGCAAGCTTTTTTCTGAGCTCAGATACATACATAAATTATCCCGTATATATATCAGCTCTCATCTCCATTGGCTGATACCTGAACGCAGAAATGAAAATTGTCACTTCCTGTCAGTTTAATTATTAGAGCTGACAAATAAATAAAGATAATCAAGTTTATTATGTGCTCTTTAGTTTTTAATATATCAAGGTCTTACTGGAAAAATACTTAAAGAAACAATGTTGTTTATAGCAGAAAAATGTAGTCATTTAGAATGTTGTGTTGTGTTACCGCTGTAGAGTTGTATTTCTCGTCATATTGTGTTTATTTTTGTAATTTGTTATAAACCTGGAAAATCATGGGCGCGATAGAAAACCCATCAGTCGAAATACGCAGCGTAAAATTTGTTACGCTTTCCAAAAAGTGAAAATCATTTAAATGTTTAATTCCCCCCCCCACACATTTACTCCATATAAGCACTATAGAAAATNCAGTCGAAATACGCAGCGTAAAATTTGTTACGCTCCCCAAAAAAAAAAAAACATTTAACCGTATGGGCAATCCGTGCACACATTTACTCCATATAAGCACTATAGAAAATGGACGTCTTTCTTATTTTCACTCAGGTGTTAGGCTACACAAATAAGACTTAGTAGTAAAGTGAAAGCAAATTGTAAACTAGAGCAATGTTAATAATCGTTCGTTAATAATCAGCTCTTGCTCAAATTGAGAATAGCATGGTTATCAAGCGCTAATTCTTTCAACCTCCGAAGTCAATCCCCAGTTTTTACAAAACCTTTGTTTCGATATGGCCAGTAGGAGTGTCCGGGGACAAGACAGGTGAATATTAATACGATAAAAGGACACATTAAGAAATGGGGCACCATGAACACCGTTACATGTAAGATCAGAAAGTGGCCTGGTAGTTTCAGACAACCTGGACGGTAAATGATGTTTTTATGGGGGACCCCTCTTACGACTCCTGTAATGCGCACCGTAGCCCACACCACGGCCTGTAAACAGCACATATAACTCTGACAGAGCAACTGTACACGTAGTTCTTAGTTTATCAACCTTGAGCATCGCATCCAACATTGATATACTTATTTATGAACTGCAACTGCTTTAAAAAGAGATGATTACAAGCGATATGACATAGCCTACATTTCATCTTTAGCTAGTTTCGAAACGTGAAGAAAAGCATTCAAAAGGCAGCCAGTGACGGCTATTTAAAGCTTCAACCTTCAAAAAGAAAATAAACAGTTGCCTGCCGCTTTTATGTGTTATATATAATGCGACCACTCTAAAACACGACTTTCAATTGCTTTAATTGATGATTTCCCATGCATTTCATTGCAGGAAGTTGCGATTCCACCGTTTTTCTACATGGGCATGACTGCCGTTTAGTTGGATCACGTTGAATTGGACTGCGAAAATATCCGATATATTCTCCAGTTTGCATACTATCCGATCTGCAGCAGAAGTCGTCTATATGAAGTGACTACTGCCTTCGGGAAGAGCATGTTAAATTACCCAGCACCCCGAATTCCTTTGTTTTAGGCAAACCGGGTTTAAAATACACAATCTGAATACAAACTATGGACGGGAAAATGGACATCCGCTTTAAAAGTAATATAAGGCAAAGCGCACTGACTACACGCTGACACTGAGAGAAGGGGTATTTTGTCAAGGTTATTGTATGGATTTTGTAGTTATAATTTTTTTTTTTGCGTCAGAGCCGAGGTTAGCTGAACTAATACACTGCCCGGCCAAAAAAAAGTCACCATTTGAATTTTTCATTGGACCACCTTTAGCTTTGATTATGATGCACATTTTTCATGGCATTGTTTCCACAACTTATGCAACATCTCACCCTTTATTTTAATCCATATTTGCATTAATTTCTCACCGAGATCCTGTATTGACAAGTGAGTTGAACCACTCCATAAAGCCTCCTTCAGCACATCCCAAAGACCTTCAATGAGGTTAAGGTCACAACTCTGGTGACCAAGTCACGTGTGAAAATGATTCCTCATGCTCCCTGAACCACTCTTTGACATTTCGAACCCAATGAATCTTGGCATTCTTGTCCTGGAATATGCCCATGCCAACAGGGAAGAAAACATCCATTGATGATGGATGGAGGTGTAACCTGGCCAGTCAGTAGATTCATGTACTCAGCTGACTTTACTTTATTGCTGCATAACGTTGCTGAGCTGTAATAATGATCTATAGTCATTGGCTTTTAAGTATTTGCTGATATAAATTCAAATGGCGACTTTTTTTTTGGCCGGGCAGTGTATGTTGTCATGAGATATACCATAACACAGCAAAACAGCTCAATTTTGATAAGATAAAAAAAAAAGTTACTGTGTTTCGGCTTTGTAGGACAAAATAGTTTGATGGCAACATTCTTCAGCAGCAGGCCTACAGTATAAAATTATTCTTATTAATATTACTGTTCGGAAGACGGATCTTTACATAAGTCTAACGTTAATCATCCTACTCTGTTCCGGGGGACGGGTCAACGGTGTACTGCTACGGAAGCATATAGGAAAGACGCATCTGTGCATCACTAAAAATGTGTGTGTATGTGAAGTGTAAATGATATTCTGCATTTTTGTGGGCTGTCCGACACTCGTCGCTTTCCCGTTCTGGTCACACCGGGCTTGCGGTGTGTCTCAAGGCACGCGCCGGACTGAAGCCCAGGCGATTACGGTACAGGAGGATGATGCCCACCGGCGCCCCATTCACACTGGGCTGGACGGGGTAAGGGGATTATTTCTGTACGTTAGGATAACAATGACGAGCAGAAAACGGTTTCCCAGGTCAATGGGCAGTTTGAGTTCAAAGGTAAATGCAAAAAGTTTGTTGTAATTCTGTGTCTCTGGTTATTTAAATGGTAGATCTGACCTTGGCGATAGCAGCAAGTAACCAAACCATCCCTTGCCTTACAAAATACGTCCAACTGTCCGCTGCTCTGCACACGTTTCTATCCGTGATATACTGTGCCTTGGGTCAGCATATCAACATATTTCGAGAAGTGCGGTGTTCACTCTAATGCCCACTGCTGTGACTCAGATTCAGGACCGATGTCTCCCGTAGCAACGCTCTCCTATACACACCGTCGATGCAAACATGACCTGCCCCCCACCGGGCTCTTCCCACATCCACGCAAGGGCTGGGAGAAGAAAAATTATGTAATTGCATAGTTCAGAGGAGTGAAAATAACTAAGCCACCCCCCCACCCCCCCAGGAAGATTAACCATACACCCTGCTGAATGGGATCTACATCTTCATTAGTTAGGGTAATCCACTTTCAAATCAGAGTGCAGGATTTTCCAGATAATCCACAGAGGTGACACAGTCCAGTCCAAAAGGGTTTCACAGAAACGTGCGAGTGAACAAAATACAACGCAACCCTATGAACTGATGCTTTAGCAAATGGATGCATGCTGCTGCATAAATTAAGCGTGTTGAGTGGAATAAACCACGAGGAACTGGGGGGTGGTGAAAAAAGGCAACAACAGAAGTTAAAATTTATGTAAGAATACAAGTGTTCAATTATACAAAATATCAAAGTCAAAAAAGATCAAAAAGGATGCGTAGATGGAGAAAAAAAATCAATGCAGTTGGAGAGCTGAGTGGAGTCGTGGAGCTGAGTGCAGTGCTCCTTTCGCGCAGTGCTCCTTTCGCGCAGTTCTCCTTTCGCGCAGTTCTCCTTTCGCGCAGTTATCTCCGTCTGTTTTTGGAGCTTCTGGAGCTTTTAAAAGGGTCAAACTCCTCCTAGACAGAGAGGAACAGGGTCAGGGAGGGACATCGTAGGTAAGTTTAAAAGGATTCCTGGTTTGGAGACCTGCCCCAGCAGGGTGCAGAGGGAAGTCCCCTCACCTCATCATCTTCGTCGAAGCAGACTCCTTTGCGTGTCTGGCTCTGGCTCTGAGAAGGCCGGGATGGCATGGCAGTGGAGGAGGTCCTGCGTGAGGAACAGCATGCTGCACATGAATCGTGGCAGTGAGATCCATTAGTTAAAACCCATCCCCTTAGCCATTAGTACGAGTCATGTGACAGTACAGCAAGGCTATGAAGGTCAGCCCCTGTACTTATGATTAAAGAAGAACATTTATAGGGACACGGTTGGAGGTTTGAATCTTGCCACTGCTCTGTGGAGCTTGTGGGAGATTTACACCAAAATGTTCTGAGGGCAGAATGAAAAATGATTGGTTCAGAGTCATAACCAATCAGATTGTAGAGGAGGCGGGACCAAGACATCTGACTGGTTGATTTTGATACATTTTGAATGTTCTCTCAGGAATGAGTGATTGTGTGTATGTATATGTGCATGTGCCCCCACAATCCTGACCAGGCTAAGCAGTTAGCTAACTTTTTTACATTCGTCACACTCACTGCACTAGTTGTATCAATATGAACCCAATATTACCCAAAATGACAAACTGAGCCACAAATGGCCTTTGACTTGATGAGTGACAAGTGACATTAATCTGCTTTGGGAGCTGATACACAGAAATGATTCTGTTACTGATTACAGAAAGGGACTAAAAATCGGCCATATGTAAATTAAAAGAGCTTTGTTGACAGTACAGGGAAAGACTTTCTCTGTATTGTAATGGTGCAAGTTGACTATGGAACGAAAAGCGGCTTCTGCTGGAATTTCAAGAGTTTTCTTAATCCTTCCCAGCTCTTAAAAAAGAGCATTACCATAAATTACGGCATATTTCTGCTTAAAATTCCACCTCTCTCTGCTTGAAGACTAACAACATAAACTCTGTAATTCCCGTTTGTTTATTTTCTTGTCAAAAAATGCATATCCCACACATGCAGAAACTGGCATTTCAAATAAATATAAAATTTGCACAGTTACAGCATTCTGTCATTAAACTTATTTACCTACTCATAAGAGTTTGCATTGTTGTTTTAAAAAAAAAATATTTCCATAACTAGAGAAATGTGTGAAGAGCTGATAGAACATACTGGAAGGATAA